GAACATGAACGGGATCCGCTTGTATTTTACTTCGCCGGAGTTTACTTCACACTTTAAAACAGAAGAAATCGTTTTATATAGTCAGAAATTAAATAGACTAAACATCTCCGACCCTTACCGTGCCCCTGGGATACTTTTTAAAAACGCCAGAAGATGTCGGAGCGGACTTCTTACCGGCACAACACCGGACCTGACCGGGGAACCCCTTGGGATTTACCCGGAGGAGCTGGCTCCGGCGGCTGGGGAGAGGGAAGTCACACTACTGCCCCCGCAACCCGACTCCGGATACGCGGATGAAAATGGATGGATGGACGGACAAATAACAGATTTACACGGTCTGTCACTGGCAAATCAAAAGTGAGACGGATGACACAACCGCCCCCCCTGTGGTACTTGCTTGTTACCACATTCCACCTGGCCACAATAAAATACCGGCCATTATTCACCTCCACCGACACCGGCCAAAATATGATACCCGGCCGTTAATTGAATACAGGCCAATATTAGAGGATTTACGGTATATAGATAGATAGATATAAATAAATATATAGATATATATAAATTTATATATATAGATATAGATAAATATATATATATATATATATATATATATATATATATATATATATATATATATTAGGGATGAGCCGGGTACTCGTTTCAGACGAGTATCCGGTACGGATAAAGCATTTTTGACGAATACGAACATGAAACGAGTAAACTTAGTAAATATCTGTAATCGTGCTGAAGGAAAATCCTCATTGGGTAACTGACTGTCTTCACGCTCTGTGATTGGCCAGTAACATAGAGCGCCCGCCCCTCCCTACACACAAAACTCTCTAGCCGGCCGGGAGCGCAGTCCGTCCGGCTCATCCACCCACACACACACAGACAGTAACGGATCTCGCTGTGATTGCTTCACTGTTGCTCACGTTTCTTCAGTTTTTCCTAGGTTTTCTTCAGCTCGCCTCTTTTTTGGTTGAATATTTAAAGTTACTTTTTTCGTAACTTACATGGTGCATTTGACAAGACAGAGCTGACGTGCTGTGTTACCACCTCCGCTCCGGTCGGGTTTTTTAATTTTATTTAACTCCCTCTCTCTCCCTCTCACCCTCTCTATCTCTCTCTCTCACACACACACCTCAATCAACATTGTTTTGTTTAACTTTTTGTGGGAAAATGCCAAGAACGTTAAGAAAAAAATCAGTTTAATCAAATTAAAATAAAAAATATACATAAAGTTGTGTCTGGTTCTAGCATTTCATATTTCCTAGTTCCTACTGCATGAGTTCAGATGCATTAATCCATGCACTTAAATATTAATGTTCTGATTTTATTGAAAAACTTGTTCTGTAATAGTTCCTTTACTATTGTGATCAAAAATATTTAATCTCTATTCTGAGGCTGCTCTGTAAATAGTTTTCAAATAAACAATACACATATCAACTTCTGATCAATCCTTATCAATTTCAGACTTAAAATAATATATTGATGTAAACCACACCCACTTCCGGTTAAACCACGCCCACTTCCGGGTTCTGCCACGCCCATTCCGAGTACAGATAATTAATAGTTGGTTGAACAGATACAGATAGTGGTGTACTCGCTCATCCCTACGGTTGAGTATATACATGAAAAAGCTGATGAGCATCAAAGCACTTTAGTATTGCATAGACATGGCGCTAGAATTTACACGCCTGAGCCTACGTAGGGGAAACATGCAGCTTACGTGGACCAGGTAGGCTGGGTCCTTCATATAATGCTGAATTTGGACACAGCAGCTTGTGTGGCTGACTAAAGTGCAACACACATCTGTGTGGTAACTTGGTATGCCTCTCTCCTGTACCAAATGTTCCATACTGAAAAATCTCAAAACATTAACTGTTACATCTCCCCGAAACTTCCCATTTCCACCCATAGCTCTTGCTCCCACTCACTCCCATCGTGCAGCAGTCCCACAGTTGATGACAGTCTTGTCTCATGCGTAACTGCCCTTCAGAGGACAAACACTTTGTAGAAGCGGCGTGGTGAATCTCCCCCCTACGAGATCTGCTCCTACGGAGCTTCACCCTGCAGTAGTCCACCGTCTGTACCGCTGTCATTCGCACACGTTGCTTCCCACTCATCAACGTTCTCGTTGCTGGGATGAGGCCCTCGGTCTGTCTCAGCGATCGAATGGCCAGTCTCCCTGCCCGTCTTCCTCCTCTCCCTGTCATCGTGTATCCTGAACCTTCCTAGGTGACTGCCATGTCTCCTCCATATTTAAACGTAAAAGTAAATCTACATTTTCTCCCCTCTGTAGATTGAGAACAGCTTCTCCATCTCCGTTCCCATCTTTAAGCAGTTCCACAAGAACATCATTGGAAAGGGCGGCGCTAACATCAAGAAGGTGAGACAAGCCCGGCGGAGTAGTTATGATGTCACTTAGAGGAGCAGACAGGAGCTAACGGTGACCGTTTGTGGCTCCAGATCCGCGAGGAGACCAACACTAAGATCGACCTGCCGACAGAGAACAGCAACTCTGAGATGATCGTCATCACGGGGAAAAAGAGCAACTGTGAAGCTGCCAGAGATCGGATCCTCGCCATCCAGAGAGAGCTGGTGGGTCCAGAAAAACCAAAACAAATCATGAACATCATCAAAAATATATTAATTTTCATGGTTTAGATATTAAATTGTTCTGATGCTTTTAAAAGTTGGTGTTCTTCTCTCCTCCTCAGGCGAACATCAAAGAGATGGAGGTCGCCATCCCAGCCAAGCTGCACAACTCTCTGATTGGCTCCAAAGGCTGCCTGGTGCGATCCATTATGGAGGATTGTGGCGGCGTCCACATCCATTTCCCCTCTGAGGGCTCTGGCTCTGATAAGGTCACCATCAGAGGGCCTGTGGGCGAGGTGGAGAAGGCCAAAAGGCAGCTGCTGCAGCTGGCTGAGGAGAAGGTTGGTGCGAGTGAATCAGAAGGGTTCTGTTAGCTGGGAGGGGCCCAAAGCTGTCATTTCTGCTTTGTGCCCTTTAGCAAGTCAACAACTTCACCGCTGAGCTGCAGGCCAAACCAGAGTATCACAAGTTCCTAATCGGACGAGGCGGGGCCAACATTCGCAGAGTCCGGGACAGAACGGGAGCCCGGATCATCTTCCCATCGCCCGATGACACGGAGCAGGAGCTGATCACCATCGTGGGGAAGGAGGAGGCCGTCCATCAGGCCCAGAGGGAGCTGGAGAGTCTGGTCAAGAACCTGGTAAAGACCTCCACAGCTCCTGGTGCCTTAGTCATGACTTCATTTCTAAAGTTTTAACATCACTTCCTCTTTAGGACGACGTGGTGGAGGACTGCATGGAGGTCGATGTGCGCCACCACCGTCACTTTGTGTGTCGGAGAGGTCAGGTGCTGCGCGAGCTGGCGGAGGAATATGGCGGCATGGCGGTGAGCTTCCCCCGCACCGGATCAAACAGCCAGAAGGTCACTCTGAAGGGAGCGAAGGACTGTGTGGAGGCGGCGAAGAAACGCATCCAGGAGATCATCGAGGACCTGGTAAAGTACCGGGGAAGAGAATGGGCTGCTTTAACACAACGTTGTTTTGGTTTCCAGGTGAGTAGAGAGGCTTTTTAAGTCCCTGGAAAGTTTCTGAAGGGTGCCGATTATTTGGGATGATTTTTGTACCACTAAGCTCAGATGAAAGAAGTGTAATAAAAACAAACATCTGGAATCTGGAACATTAAAATCACCATGGTAACCACACCACACTTGCTCACTCTCCCTCCCTCCGACACCACACGTAATAATTCAAGTATTGAACCGACAAACTCGGGGAAAGCACAGATCTGTTTGAGTTTCTGAAGAGCCCAACAGGTGGTTCCCACCACTGCCATCTTGGCCACGTTACACGTCTCGTCACTGCTGGAAAATGCAAAAATGGATGTAAGAGCGGGGGCTGTGAGGGTGGGGTCAGATGATTGACACCCAGTAAACTCGGGGCTGATGTAGCTATAAGCTAACTTAAGCTAACAGATGTTGGTTGGCGCTTTTAGTCAGAAAACCACGGTTAAGTACCTCAGAGTTGTCATGGCTGTAATCTAGATCTGTTAAACCTAAAATGTTTTTGTAAACATGTTTATTTCTACTGTGAAGTCAGCATTTTTAACGTGGGGGTCGATCAGAACCTGCTCCTTCCTGGATCCAGCCTCTAGTGGATGAGAGAGGAACTGCGATTTTTGTTACTTTCGCGTTTGCTTCAATTTTGGCAGATAGAGTTAATATTAGCGTCTAAAGCTGACCTCCAGTCACTAGGTGGCAGCAGCGCTCAGGCTCCTGTTTAACCCAGCAGATGACACCGGTGCACCAAGCTGATGGAGAAAACTTAAAAGATGATGTATCAAGTGATGAAGGCCGGCAGAAAGAGATGAGAAAAATACGACAAAGCATTGGGTGTACTGTGAACACGGTGGGGTTAATGTGCTTTCTTTTGGGGGGGGGGGGGGGGGGGGGGGGGGGGGGTGACAGAAAATAATTGAAGCACTGCTTTAATGTGAAACCAGATGAGATAAACATGTCTTATTGTGTTTACTGATGCAAAAATAGGCACTAATGAGGTTTCTTCTCCTCCTGCAGGAGTCCCAGGTGAGCGTGGAAGTCGCCATCCCTCAGCGCTACCATAGAGCCATCATGGGACCCAAAGGCTGCCGCATCCAGCACATCACCAGGGAGCACGAGGTCCAAATCAAGTTCCCTGAGAGAGACGACAACGCCGCAGGTTAGAAACACAACATGTGTCCCGGACTAATGAACTTCTCACAATTAAGACTCTTTGCTCCACTTACTACAAAATCCTGTTAAATCTGCCATGAACTTACAGGTCAGGAGGCCTCGCCGCAGGAGAATGGTGAGGTCATTCCAGATGCTGAGTTCGTCCCTCGCAAATGTGACATCATCATCATTTCTGGACGGGCGGAGAGGTGTGAGCCGGCTAAAGCTGCTCTGCTGGTGGGTGGGATTTCAGTCAGAGCTTGAAACCTTTTGAAATGCGCTGGTTCCACCTTCTCGTCACGGTCCTCACCCTGCAGGCGTTGGTGCCCATAACGGAGGACGTTGAAGTGTCCTACGATCTTCACCGCTACATCATCGGTCAGAAGGGCAGCGGAATCAGGAAGATGATGGAGGAGTACGAGGTCAGCGTTTTCTAAATCAGAAGTTTTTTTTTGTCTGTGTTGCTGATAAAAATGTTCAAGGGAGGGATTTTGTTTGTGCGTGACGTGAAGGTGAACATCTGGGTGCCACAGCCTGACAAACAGCTGAATGTGATCAAGGTGACGGGACTTGCAGCCAACGTGGAGCGAGCCAAACTGGGTCTGCTGGAGAGGGTCAGAGAGCTGCAGGCCGAGCAGGAGGACAGGGTACAAACGGTGCTTCGGTGCCTTTTTATTTGTGTGACTTTATTTCCTCCTCATCTAAACGCAGAGCTTTTTGTTTTAATAGACAACACCATCAGTCAGAAAACACGAGACCTCTGAAGCACGAGGAAAGTAGAGATGTGTGTGGTTCGACTCCTAAATGAAGTAAAGTCTCCACCTCCTTTCAGGCCCTGCGTAGCTTCAAGGTCACCATGTCTGTAGATCCAAAGTTTCATCCTAAGATCATTGGCCGAAAAGGGGCGGTGATCTCCCAGATCAGGAAGGACCACAACGTCATCATCCAGTTCCCCGATAAAGGGGACGAGCAGCAGGTAGGGGTTCCACAGGACTGTTTGGACCCCTTTTCTTAATCACGAGGAAATTGAACAAGTGTTTTACTCGCCACCGTATCTAACCACTTCCAGGACCTGATCGTGATCTCTGGGTACGAGCGGAATGTGGAAGAGGCCCGGGAGGCCATCCAGCAGCTGGTGGCTGAGTTACAGGAGATGGTGAGCCAGGACGTTCACCTTGACTCCAGGACTCACGCCCGCATCATCGGCGCTCGCGGCAAAGCCATCCGCAAGCTGATGGAGGAGTTCAAGGTTGGATGTGTCAACGGGTCACGGCAAACTGAACTGCATTTGTTTGATCCTAACGCGCTCTGATTGGTTCTCTGGCTGTCCAGGTGGACATCCGGTTCCCTCAGCCGGGCTCTGACGAGCCGGACAAAGTGACAGTAATGGGCCTCCCTGATACCGTCGATGCCGCCATCGATCATCTGCTCAACCTGGAGGAAGAATACGTAGGTTTGATGCAACTGTTTTATGGAATAGCCTTGTGTCGCTCACCTGATGAGAACACCTAGCTTACAGATTTAGATGTGTGAGAAGATGCTCGTCTTTTTTTCTCTCAGTTGCTCAGTGTGACAGAAACAGAGACTCTGGCAGCATACATGAAGCCTCCGTCTCGTTACGGAGGAGGAGGAGGGGGAGCAGGAGGAGTGGATGATAACAGCGGGGGTCCAGCTAAAGGCTTCGTGGTGCGGGACGCCCCCTGGAACGCTGCAGGGAACAAGGTGGGTGGGGCTGACTTAGTTTTTTATTTTGCACTAAAACGTTCACGTTTGGTAAAAATGGCTTTGAGCCGATAGCTTGACTGCTTTGTGGATCTGTTTTGTTGTTTTGTTTTAAGATCTTTGATATTATTATTTTAGTGATTGTGAAATTTATTTATATTTCTCTGTTTTTTCATGGTCTACCGTAAATCCTCTAATATTGGCCTGTATTTAATTAACGGCCGGGTATCATATTTTGGCCGGTGTCGGAGTCGGCGGAGGTGAATAATGGCCGTTTTTTTTAATTGTGGCCAGGTGGAATGTGGTAACAAGCAAGTACGGGGGGCGGTTGTTCATCCGTCTCACTTTTGATTTGCCAGTGATAGACCGCGAGGGTAACTTTAACCGTGCGGAGACGAAGAGGAGGTCGAAAATTTGATATTAAGTTCAAAGAGAACGTGCTGATTATGCTGCAGAACACTCTGGGGAGCAGTAGCAGGGGTTGTATGAACTAGTCACTAGTCGACTTCACCTCTCTATAGTGACTTTTTATGCCTGTCATCGACTAGTCGCTGTCACGTGATAATGACCGGCAAGTTGCAGTCCACGGAAAAGACAGCAGCCTGCTGTCAGCAGGTGACAAGCTCCTGCGCGTCGGGAAGCAACGCGCTGTGCCAGAGCGTCGGTACTGACACCCGCCGTAAAACGGACATTTAACCAAATTGTGACCTTTACCCTCTTGCAATTTAACCTTCCCCTCACCCCCATCCTAACCTTAACCAGCTTGTGCATGCAAAGCTCTTGATTGTTGACGCGCTCCAGACATCTGCGTCCTGAGGACGGCCACAGTAACATTATCAAATCAGGAGTTGCCACCTCAAAAACTTAACACGCGATCGTTCATGTCGGCTCATTTCCTTTAATGTTTTCTGTCTTTTATTTGCGCCTGAAGTGTTTCGCTGCTGTGTAGCGGGGCACATCACCTTGTCCTCCAGTGACGCACCGATCACTGATGCGGCCGCCAAGCAGCGAGCGCTCCGCTGTTTTAGCGGTCGGTAGATCTTTTAGAACTGCAGTTCAAAGGTAACTCATGAGGTGAATATATATGAACCCAGGTAGCAGTTTTTCTTTAGGACTGAGAGGAGATGCAGGAAGATAATAAACAGGCAGGACAGAAAAATAGTCAAATCAAAACAAGTTAGTTTTTGTACCTGGTGGTTGCAACAAACAGACACCATTGAAGGTAATCAGAAGTGAGGAACAGAAAATGAAATAATTATTTTAATGTTTAGAGCAGCAGGAACTCTGAGAGGCTGCAGGGGCATCAGTGAGTTTGCGGCTGCTGCACGGGGGAGAGGGGGAGAGGGTTGAAGCAGAAACTACTGTTGTTAAAAGAAATGTGTTTAACTTTGAAAATGTGGGCGCAATTTTAATTGTCAAAAACTCCAGCGAACCATTAGTTCATTTTTCTCAAATATAAATTGAGGCCTGCCTCTAATTCTGGTCCTCCTTCCAATAAAGGCCTGGAGCTTGATGAGCTTGAGTCAAATACAGGCCCGGGCCTGTATTAGAGGATTTACGGTATGTGTGTTTTTATCTGTTTAATTGTGGTCTTGGTTTTGTCAAAGTTTAATTCAGTATTGAAAATTAGCACTTTGCTTGTTAGCAATCTGACCAGAGGACAACTTCCTCTTCCTGTCTTGATACTCTGCCCAGTTTGAGTGATGTCATCTTCAGAATCCCCATAAATTTCAGAACGTCTCTTAATAAAGACCAAAACATCCCTTTAATAGTCTATCATAAATGGGCTTAGTAAAAATGTAGTAGTAATTAAAACGAATGCTTATGGATCCACATTTTTATTATATGATAAATTTGCTTGCCACATGTTTTTCTTTGGTTCCAGGCGCCTGACATGAGCAGTGCAGAAGACTTCCCCACCTTTGGGACCGGCGTGGCCCCGAAACAAACCTCCGCCTGGGGCCCCAAGAAGTTCTGAAGCTGCTCACGTGGAGAAACAACTTGTGTATATTAGACGACGAGAGACGAAATAATTCTCCAGTCAAACTGCTGCTCGCCTTCCTCCTCGTCCCCGTCGTCTCTTTTGTGTCCAGTTTGCCTGATGTTGTCCCACAACCAGCCACAGGGAATTCTGGGAGAGTAATTCCTTTATTTTTTTAATCCTAATTTGTCTCTCTTTCTGTAGTTTGTCCCACTTCCTTTCACGTCCTCAGAGACAGGGAGGACGTGTTGTAGTTTTGCTGTCCCGTTACTCCTCTGTCAGCGTCCCTGAAACATTTCAGAAAGTTTTATTTTTCGCCGATCGTCTGATTCTCTCCTACACACGAAATGTTTCAGTCGCTCTGATCTAGCAGAGTCTGTGCAGGATTAATCCTGAAATTATAAGCTTGAAAAATGAAGGGGGTGGAGTCAGAATAATTTGTAAATTCACAGCTTCTTTGTTATGATTTGATTGGCTCACCTGTCCGGTCAGTGCTGTGTGTGTTCGTGTGCGTCGGCGGGAGGTTTGTAGATGACTTTTTTAAAAGCTTTTATTCTTATTTATTTTCAAACTAGGAGCAAAAACGGCTGCTTTAATAGACTTTATTTTGAAACCACAATGACTCCAAAATAATGTGAAGCTCTGATTATTATGGTTGTTTTTTTATGTTTATTTATTGAAAAATAAGCCATTTTCTTTGAACTACTGTGATCATCTGTTTTTATAAAAGCACTCACTGTAGCTTGCAACCTTGTTTTTTGTGTTTGAGACAGAATGGTGCGCGCCACAAGGTGGGAAAATTGTTAAGTTCTTGTGTTTAAGCGTCAAAAAAGGACTTTTTGCTATTTTTTAAAACTGTGTGAGACCTCTTGTTGTTGTTGGGTTCTGACATATTTGAAGGTGTGTGTGTGTGAGAAAGTTGAGATGTAAATTTGAATGACTATCTGTTTGTCTCTTTTTCTGGAAGCTATCCTCATTTAAAGGTTTTTAACTTGCTGCTTAGCGTTTTTTTTTCCTCCTGAACACAAAAAGCCGTTCTTCGTGCCCCCCCTCCACCTCCCACAGTCCAAGGGTGTTGCGTGCATCAATGAACATTTGTAGCAAAACTCCTTACTTAACTCGAGTCCTGTTGCTGAACTGTACAAAGACTTAAATTAGTTGAACAAAGCCTGCGTTGTGCCTGGAGTTTTAGAGGAATAAATGAACACTTTGGGGGGAAAAAAGGGATGAGCAGCTCAATCTGAAAATATAAATGAGCACAAAGGCTTTACAAGCTCTAAAAATCATCCCAACCAACAACTAAGAATGTTTGTTTAATGTTTCAAGTGGGTTTTAGTAGAAAAATGATTAAATATCTTAATAGATTCAAACAACTCTTAAAATGGCCTCAGTTTAGAAAAAAAATAGTTGGAATTAAAAAATGCATATGACATTTTATAAACATTTATACTGCCATTGCATTTGCAACACAATGTTCTTCACATAAAACAAGCTAAAAGCAGCAGTTAGCTGGAGCACTTCCTGTGCAGCCTGGGGAACGTCCTGCTGGAGTTTTATAATATTTTTGCTTCACCAGTTGTGTAACGCAAAACTGTACATAAAATAAAAACGGTAGTTGTTTAAAGATGACAGTGATACATTCTTCCCAGCTCTGACTAGCTGTTAGCTCATCAATCTGCACCTAACTACCTTCATTCACTTTATCTGTACTTCGAAGAATGAGAAACAGCCTTTGGTTCACTGGCATGTCCAGAAAAGACAATAAAAGTCTATTTGATAACTACAGGTAAAACTCAGAAAATGAGACTTGGACTGAGAGACTATCTAAAGCCTCGGGAACCCTTTGCAGGTGTGCTGGACTCATTAGCTGATTAGAGTGTGATAATTTGAGTCTAGAATAATAAACCTTTTCACAATATCCAAATTGTCTGAGATCTGGGGGTAGCAGTAGCTCAACATCTCAAATGGGTTGACCGGTAATCGGAAGGTTGCCGGTTCAATCCTGGCTCCGCACAGAGAATTCTGTTGTGTCCTTGGGCAAGACACTTAACCCTCTGGAGGCAGGCGTTGCAGATTTACAACAGTTAAAACCTACCTACCTGGTTACTCCACACACGTGTTACATGAGCATGTTTTAACTCAGAAGTACCCTGAAGGACTTAGTCGGTCGTCCGTTTATCCAAAACTTATTTTGAGCCTGAGAGGGTTAAACTACGTTGCCTGCTGGTGGTGGTCAGAGGGACCGGTGGCGCCTGTGTTCGGCAGCCTCGCCTCTGTCAATGAGTCCCAGGGCAGCTGTGGCTACATCGTAGCTCATCACAAGTGTGTGAATGGATGAATGATGCACTGCAATGTAACGCGCTTTGGAGTCCTCGGACTCTGAAAAGTGCTATACTAGTGTGGGTCATGGGGTTTTCATCAGCTGTAAGCCAAAATCATCACAGTTATAACAAAGAAATGTCTGGATTTGCATGTAATGAGTCTCTCATGTTAGTTTCACCTTTTAAGTTGAACTGAAATGAAATCTTTCAGCATATTGTAATAATCGAAGTTTCAGCTGCAGTCTCTCTAAACTAGGCTGTCTACAGTTAACACCCACCTACACAAGACCTCTCACATTGTTGTGTTGTAGTGCATTGGCTAAGAAAGGGCTTTGTCAGCTAAATTTTACATATCAGAAAAGTACTAATGACATGAGTGTATATTAAGAGTAAAATAATTCAAAAGCTCTTTTTCACCTGGTTATGGTGCGATCATCTCCTCTAGAGTGATCTGGATTGTTTCCAGCTGCAGGTCCAGGTGGTGCCAGCTCTGCTAGGACGCATAAAAACTCAGGGTCCAGCTTCAACGCTGCAGCGCAAACACGAGTCGGCTATGCAACTCAACAGCTGATCACGTTTGTCAGTGATGCATTCTCACACACGTCGTTTATTACCTTTATGGAACAGCAAACAAGTCACTTCAGTAAAAAAAAAAAAAAATTTACCCTTTTTCTGTATGGTTATTGTCTGGTGGCAGGACCAAAGTATTTCTGTAAAAATAAATCCCACTATTGGCCTTTAGTAGTCATTAGTCTACAGGTTGTGACCGAGTGCAACTCTGCAATAACATGTCAGTAACCATACTTTTTTTTTCTTCCCTATTTTAAATAAAATCTAAAGCAAAAGCCCCAGCGGGTTTTTATTCCACATGAACCAACACATCCTGTGCAAATGATCCGTCTTTTTATTTATTTTATAAATCAGAAAGATGGCTGCGCAGTGGTTAGAGCTGTTGCCTTGCAGCAAGAAGGTCCTGGGTTCGATTCCCGGCCTGGGATCTTTCTGCATGGAGTTTGCATGTTCTCCCTGTGCATGCGTGGGTTCTCTCCGGGTACTCCGGCTTCCTCCCACAGTCCAACAACATGACTGTTAGGTTAATTGGTCTGTCTAAATTGTCCTTAGGTGTGTGTGTGTGTGTATGTGTGCGTGCGTGCGCATGATTGTTTCTGTGTGTCTCTGTGTTGCCCTGTGATGGACTGGCTCTCTGTCCAGGCTGCACCCTGCCTGATTGCCCGTTGACCGCTGGAGATAGGCACCCCCCCCTCCCGCGACCCCACGTGGACAAAGCGGGTTCAGACAATGGATGGAAATCAGAAAGATATGATTTGTTATGTAACAGCCTGTACAACACAATATACCTAAAACAAAAGAAAAAACATACAAATCAACGTGTACAAAGCAGCACTGGGATGTAAATAACCCATTAAATAGTTTTCACATTTTTTTGATTGGAAGTTTCTGCCTTTAGCACACAATCTGCCACCAGTTAGATCACAGGTTAGATTCAGCTTCTCCAAGTGTAACTAACTGAGCTAAAAATGTGGAGGGTTAGGAAAATTGGCCAAAACACAGCTGTTCACAACCTGTGGTCGAGCCCTGATGAACGACATTCACGTGTAAACACCAGGATAGGTCAGGTAAACGTCATCAGAGTGGAGGTGTGTCTGGAATATCAGTTACATTTACTATATTTTTAAACCTTCTAGGGTCTGGACGAAGCATAACCAATAATGAGGATTGAAGATGTGGAAAACTGCAACATTTGGTTTTAGCCACTTTTAAAAGTTGGACATCATTTTGGGAATTACTTTTACACTTGAGAACCAGCACAATGTGCGCCAAATTAAAGCTACAGTCTGGCTTCAACTAAAAATAAATACTAATAACCACCAATGTAAACATATCGTTTTAGGTTTTGGTCTACATTGAACTAATCGCTCATTACTTGTCCCAACAAAAATTACCAGGCAACCGTAAGAAACCCACCTTGTTGTGAAGTTACAGGTGTTGTGTCTAAAAAAGCATCCCACCTGTAAGAAGGTGCACTTCCAAGTTTTCATTCATAAATTGAATAAAAATTACAAGTAACTGCATATTTTAAGAGCATGGTTATCTGATTTAAACATGTCTGGTTGCTTTTACGGCAAAGGAAAGCAGCTATGTAATGCTCCCTTTGACCAGGAAAAGGTTACGACCACAGAATCCTCTCATCTACTCTCAAGTCCCCTTCATGCAAGGAGCAACAGAACATGCTTACATGGAGAAGCTTGTTTAGCTGCACGTTTTTCACGTTTCCTAGCCACTTTGAACTATCCCTTCAGAACAGGTGAGATGTTTTCGACACAACACCGGACACATAACTAGTTATCATGCTCTTCTCTCTGTGGAGTTTAAATGGCCAACATGAGAATTTAAAGTAGGTACTTTAATACTGGTGGATCACCAAGGTGGCATTTTGTAAACTTTTCAAAGCTTTAAACTAAGCTAGCCTTTTAAATATAAATCTAGCAGGCTTTGTGCTAAGCCAGCTTTTTTTTTAGCATATCTCTGGGGGTTTTATGTTAAGCTAGCCAGTTTAGCAATACTGTAGTTAGCTTTCAGCTAGGCTAGCCATTTTAGCGTAAATCTAACAAGCTTTATGCTAAGCTAATCAGTGTAGCATAAATCTAACAGGCTTTATGCTAAGCTAACCATTTTAGCATAAATCTAACAGGCTTTATGCTAAGATAGAATAAAGCCTGTTAGATTTATACTAAAAAACTAAGCTAACCATTTTAGCATAACTCTAACAGGCTTTATGCTAAGCTAACCATTTTAGCATAAATCTAACAGGCTTTATGCTAAGCTAACCATTTTAGCATAAATCTGTCTTTTAGCTAAGATAGCTTTTTAGCATAAATCTAACAGGCTTTATGCTAAGCTAACCATTTTAGCATAAATCTAACAGGCTTTATGCTAAGCTAACCATTTTAGCATAAATCTGTCTTTTAGCTAAGATAGCTTTTTAGCATAAATCTAACAGGCTTTATGCTAAGCTAACCATTTTAGCATAAATCTAACAGTCTTTATCAGGGGTGGACATTAACTTCAAAACCAACCGGCCAGCCGGGCCGGTAACTCTGAATATTTACCGGCCCCGCCAAGAATCTACCGGCCCCGCTGGTCAGCCGCCAAAACGAGTCAAAATAACAACTGAACCGTTTTAAATGTAATAAACCTTTATTTTGTACACATTCACAAACATAATAACGTATTCAAGTTTGAATTTGTTTGTTCCCTCAACAAAACACGATTTTGTCGTCGCATACTTCCGGCATACAACGCAGTACATCACCAACTCCGCTTTGCTGTATTCGAGCCATTGGCTGTGTTCGAGATGAGCCAGTTCTGTGCAGATTAGACCAGCGGTGATCGGCGAGCAGTCGTGCATGCCGGTTTTGTGTCCGACTTGACGCTGACTTGCTCTGACGTCATGCATACGTAGGCAACGATAACCTCGTGAGATCAAGGCGGCCGCAGATTTTGGAGCAAGGCGCTGCAGCTGCTCTCCACCAGCTGCAAAACCTAGGGGATGACGGGAAACGCCTGGCTCTCACCTGATCTAAGATCTGATTGGTTCATATTTTGATCCAAACATCCGGTGGTAGAACATGAAACGTTAGTTGGTCACATGAATTCTGTAAATCATGTTACGTTGAGGATGACAACAATATAGGCCATAAAGAGAAATGCGTTTTGTTTTCTTTTGTCACGTTTCCTATGAGCACACTGAAGCTACAGCTGCTAACCTTTACTTATTATTACAGTCATGTTTTCATATAGAATATATGATATCCACAAGCACGTGAGGATGTGTTTCAGCTGCTAACAGGCACCAGAATTAAAATTGAAAATTGAACAAGTGTGAATGCTAACGCGATATCTTCATCCATCATGCAGGGAAAAACTAGTTCGTATATGTACAGTCTATGATGCTAACGCGATATCTTCATCCATCGTCACCCCCGAGCTACAAGTCCAAGAGATTCAACTGGCAGAAACAACTGGTTCACACCATAGTCTCTCTCTCTCTCCTCTCCCTCCCACACACACACACACACACACACACACACACACACACGTAGAGGAAAAGAGCTGAGGAAATTGAGGACACCGGGTAGTTAAAAGAAAAACCACAGCGGAGCCGAGGCGCGCCTCGAATGGGGCGCGTCTGATCTGAACTGAGGAGCAGCGAGCAGCGGCCGGACTTCGTGAGCGATGCGCTTCGGGCGCTTCCGCGGCCGGTGTGTCCCCGGCGAAACGCCGGCTTTCAGCCACTCCCCCTGCTGCTTCCGTCTGTTTTCCAGGCGATGCGCTGCTCAACTCGAACACAGCCATTCTCTGCACCTCCCGTCTTCTTTAAACCGCCACGAATCATTTCACCTACGCACACGCTTCTCTGCTTCATACCGTTTCGAACTGTCTCGCTTCTCCTCACCAGTTTTAAAGCGTTTTGCCAGAGATTTCATCAAGAAATCCAATCCCTGTGGCGGCGGCATCTCCCTGCGTGCTTGTGTGTTTCTAGCGTGGTTCCACTTCGTCTTTAATAGTGAACTTATAGTTCACGTGACTATAACTAATCGTGCAGTACGTGCACGAATCGTACAAGTGCAGTAGGTGGCTAGAGGCGCGCAGGTTCACGTGCGCGAAACGAAAACGGCAGCTTCCTACAGGGCGGGGCCATGATGTAGGCGAAAGCCGGTGTGTAAATGACAAATAAAGCTTGGGCGCCACCCGGGCGGTAAGTCGTCATGTATTTACCACCGCCCGACGAGAAAATTTAGCGCCATTGGCGCTCGGGCGCTTTAACGGTCCACCCCTGCTTTATGCTAAGATAGCCTTGTAGAATAAACCTGGCAGGCTTTGTGCTAGGCTTGGTCTTGCTATAGAATCTAGCCAGCTTTATGCTAACTTTATTTTAGCCTTTTTAACATAGGTCCAGCCAGTTTTCAACGATGATAGCCTTTTCAGCATAAAGCTAACCAGTTTCATGCTAAGCTAGCTCTTTTTTTAGCATAAATCTAGCTGCCTTATGCAAAACTTGCTAAGAACTATTTCACCAACTGCCTCAGCTTGAGGCAAATGTAAAAGAAACAAACTGCCAGTTTAGGTCCGTTTTTTAGGGAACAATTCAACACGTGAAACAAAAATTAAATTTCATCTAAAATGAGCTTTTCCGTGTCTTTGAATTTGTAAAACATCTTTCTGGGATAAACAGGATGACATTTTTTTTCTTTTTTAATAGTAAAATATCATCCTTTGCAAGAAATCCAATCATTTTAAATAAATCAACATAAAATAGGAAGTGGAGATTTTTTAAATTCTACATTATGAAATATTTAGTTTTAAACGCTGAGCAAATGTAGCGCCTGGCACTATTTTCCATTCCCAAAAGTTGAAGTGGAAATTTTAAAAGATCAAGTATTAAAGTTTGTGTGAATAATTATTTTAATATTTTTAAATTAATGTGAAAATTCAGGGTCAGAGAGAAAGCCAACAGCACTAATAAAAGACACATGGGCATGAAGAGGGCAGCAACAATGGTGGGGTTGTAAACATGTTTCTCTACTCCTTCCAGTTTTCAAATGTTGCCCCTAAAAAGGTCCCAATCACTTCATATTTACGGGTTTAATATCTAATTCAAGTGTAATTTTTACATTATAGTTAAAACGATGTCCCTGTGTTTTATTTATATATTATAAATGAATATTTTTGTGCTGTTTGACGTGCAGACAGACGTGAGGCAGCTTTTCCCAAAATAACACTCACCAGTGTGGAGGCTTGTCCTAGTAAACGTAAGTGCGAAAATCAAAAGTAAAAAAATACACTGATGGGGAGAACTAACAAACCTGTTGTGTTGACGAGGAGTTTAAAAATCGCCCACAAGTGTTCTAAACATAAAGTGCAGGCAGTGTCTGTTCGTCAAGACAGCACAGGTTTCGGCCGCCGGGAGAAAGTCTTAGAGCGAAGAACCAGAACCAAAGTGTTGAGTCGTCAACAATCCCCGGTAGGACCAGCTGGATTCCACAGGAGCCTCTTGATCCAGTCAGAGCTGGATTTGTCAGGTTCATTAGAAGTTCAAGCAGTACCTCCTTTGTTGTCGTGTTCACTCTATTCTGATGAGCAGTCCGTAGAGGAGCGTGCCGCCCTGCTCTTTAGTGATCCACTCGATCTCCGTGTTGCTGAAGCGAGGATCCAGGGGCTCGCTGTGTCCTAGAGTCTGAGGTCCTACCTTATAGGAGCCTGGACGCACGCACACCTGGAATCCCACCTGAGCTTGGTGACAGCGGTGGGAACGGGGGTCCCGAAATCTGTGTGACGATGAGAGTAACCGTCAGTGCGAGCCTCTGTCTAAACCCACAGCAGCAGGCTGTTTTTATGCACTTACTGCACTTTAGGAGCAAAGATCTCTAAGCCGGAATAACGCATAGTGGGGGAGAGCCGCACTCTGGGAACCTCCCTACCGGGGGCGCTGTTCTCCTCCGGCTCACTGTAGCTGTTTGGCCCCTCCGCCTTCACCGGAGACACCGAGAAGATGGACGAACACCCTGCAGCAAATTACAGCAGATTTAAGCCTCCGCTTTCAGCCACGCCAGAGCGTTGACAAAATATTTTAAAAGTTTGTTTTTAAGAAAAATAAAATGAATGATGGCGAGTTGTACCAGGAAGCAGCTGGCCGTGGTCCAGGGTGCGTCGCAGGGCTCCTACGCTGGTGCCGTGGTATGCTATATGCCACTTCTTCATGGCGTTAGAGACCTCACAGTGGGACTTTATCCTGAAAAGACATCACAGATGCTTCAGTTCTTTTCCTTTTAGTTTCGACTCTCTAACCTGTTCAAAGGTCTCGAGTAGGTTTTAACAAAACAGGAGACGGTTGTCTCACCTGAGAGCGAAGCGGCACCATCCAAACGGCAGAGCGTAGTCCCGCGGCGGCTCTCCCCTCTTGTAATACGCCTCGTCTCCCCGGAGCTTGTGGCAGGACTCGCAGTAGCACAGGTTGCATTTAGCGTCCTCATTGAAGTACCCATCTTAACAAATAGCCGGTAGTAGAATCATTAGTTTCACCTGTTAGGCGGGAAGGAGGATAAAAACGCAGGTTTTGAACCGACCTGGTAAGGTAAGCAGGTCCTTGAAGCGGGAGCACAGAGCCTGGTACTCGCAGGTCTTGTTGGGGTTAGCTTCTGGAGGAGGCGTCCAACACACGCTCTCTTTGATCCCTGCACATCCAATTCACGTCATCTGAGATCTAAATCACTATAAACGCAGAGGAGTTGGTTTTTATTTACCGTCAACCATGTCCGCCTTCTCCATGTCCGCCTGACAACGAGTCTCACCGCCCTCTGCCCCCACAGCTGCCACTGTGCTGGTTACTATGGTTACCTGTCAGCAGGAAAGGACGTGTTAGCAAACTGTTTTCTTAAAAAACTCTGAATAATCACATCTCACCTGTTGTAGCCTCTGTTTAGAGACATAGGGTTTAAATCCGATAGGATTGATGAGCTAACAACTAGGCCGAGTGAGGCCCGGAAAACGGTTGAAACGGTAAAATCCTTCGTCGCGGCACTGTTGACAGGAATCTTTCCTGTTGGAGCTAAATCTGAAGGCCTCGCTGCTTAAGCCTTTTCTACATTTAGACAACTAAACGTTGAGTAGCTTTTACTTTTTATTTCATCAGAATATCAAAAGTATTTTCTTTTACATATATTTTTTGGGAAAATAGGTTCTGGTCCCCCAAACCCATGCTGCTGCTCATCAGATCTTCCAGATGTGGCCCCAGAGCTGCAGGTTTCAGGACTAGCCGTTAGCCCTTTAGCTCTGCATTTCTCCAAACAGAAGCCTTTCTCCACAATTGGAATTTATAAACTTTGACACTGGATGAAATGTTAATTCACCTGTTCACACTGGCCGTAGAGGTCTATGAAGGGGTAGCAGGGTGAGGGGATGTCCTGCGCGGCCACGCCCTGGTCCATGCTGTTCACGTAGAGGTGGAGACAACTGTTGGTGTCCACCAGCAGACCCAACACTGTTCCCTCGGGACAAGTGTCCAGGTTAGGACCGAAGTTCTCACATATCTGGGGGGGGGGGATAAGATCATCTGTGAGGTTTTTGTCAGAGATAGGACAGTAGGTCAGATTCATGTGTTCACCTTTAGGGAGTTGTGGAAGACAGAGTCTCGCTGCAGCAGCCAGGCAGAGCGCTTAAGGCAACACGCCGTGGAGGGAAAGTTGAGTCGGTCTGGGGAGTGGCCGATCACCCCCAACGACAGGGACGACGTCCATGACGGGTTCAGACGGTCTATCTGAAACTGATGCCGGCAGAGACACCATAAAAGATTTGTTGTTAAAGTTAAAATAAAGATGAGAGCAGAATGGAAACCTGGAAGAGCTGCTGACGAGCCAGCGGCTGGGCGGTGACCAGCAGGCCCTGGTTGTAGCTCGATACTCTGGCTGCTGTCAGACTCTGGTTGGACAGTTGGATGTTTTTGCCGTGGTTTTCAAGGAATGTCATAATTGTCGGCACTGAAGAACACGACTCGCTCTCGGCCTGGAAAAACAAGAAGAGTTATCCTCCGTAATCAAACCCTGGAACTACTACTCCCCGTGGGCATGGTGCCTCACCTCTCTGACCGGGCTGCTGTCCTCCTCCCCTTCGCTGCAGCTGTCCGAGGTGAGAGACGGCGCCTTGACGCTCTCAGAGTCCTCCATCAGAGAGGAGCTGACGATGGAGACCGCTGTTATCCGTCCGTACAGGTCCAAAACTGCGTAAACATTCTGAAAAGAGACAGAAGGTGGTAAAAAGGAAAAGAAGGTCCTTGTAAGAAAAGAGGTCAGGCGTGTCAGGAAAAACATCATTCATTACTCAGTGCTTCGTGAATCTGATGCTAAAAGGAGCAGAAGGCAGCGTCTGAGAGAGTACCTTAGGCACAGCAGTAGCAGCAGGTCCCATGTCCTCTCCATCCACGAAGATGTGCATGGTGTCATCATTGCACCTTTTCACACCCACACGGTTTCCCACCTGGAAACAGGTGAACAGAATTCAGTTCTGAGGTTTTTGTCTGACCACAAGCTCTCATTACCGCTCACCGTCAGTCGCTCCAGCGAATAGCCGTAATTCTGGCGCTGCAGAGCACCGTTGCGGCGGACCTCGGAGCCACTGAGCAGCCAGGTGACCTTGGTCCGAAGCTGTGGGAGGGAAGGGGAAAGACCGGAGACAGGACAGGACGGAAGCTCCGGAGGTGCTAGCGTAGTCAGCCCGATGTGCAGCGAACCGCACCACTGCTCATCCACTTCATCGACCCTCACCTGCAGGAAGACGCGACCCGCAAAAATCAGGAGCGAAGAACAAGGGAGACATAGTCGTGAATACAGGTGCTGGCCAGTAAATTAGAATATCATCAAAAGGTTGAAGATATTTCAGTAATTCCATTCAAAACGTGAAACTTGTACATTATATTCATGCAATGCACACAGACCAATGTATTTCCAATGTTCATTACATTTAAATTTGATATTCATAAGTGACAACTAATGAAAACTCCAAATTTGGTATCTCAAAAAATTAGAATATTCTGAAAAGGCTGAATATAGAAGACACCTGCTGCCACTCTAATCAGCTGATTTACTCAAAACACCTGCAAAGGCCTTTAAAAGGTCCCTCAGTCTTGTTTTGAAGGCACCACAATCATGGGGAAGACTTCTGACTTAACAGCTGTCCAAAAGACAATCATTGACACCTTGCACAAGGAGGGCAAGACACAAAAGGTGATTGCTAAAGAAGCTGGCTGTTCGCAGAGCTCTGTGTCCAAGCACATTAACAGACAGGCGAAGGGACGGAAAAAATGTGGTAGAAAAAAGTGTACAAGCTCTAGGGATAACCGCACCCTGCAGAGAATTGTGACGACAAACCCATTCAAAAATGTGGGGGAGATCCACAAAGAGTGGACTGCAGCTGGAGTCAGCGCTTCAAGAACCACCACGAGGAGACTCATGAAAGACATGGGATTCAGGTGTCGCATTCCGTGTGTCAAGCCACTCTTGAACAAGAAACAGCGCAAGAAGCGTCTCGCCTGGGCCAAGGACAAAAAGGACTGGACTGATGCTGAGTGGTCCAAAGTTATGTTTTCTGATGAAAGCAAGTTCTGCATTTCCTTTGGAAATCAAGGACCCAGAGTCTGGAGGAAGAGCGGAGAAGCACAGAATCCACGTTGCATGAGGTCCAGTGTAAAGTTTCCACCGTCAGTGATGGTGTGGGGTGCCATGTCATCTGCCGGTGTTGGCCCACTCTGTTTCCTGAGGTCCAGGGTCAATGCAGCCGTCTACCAGGAAGTTTTAGAGCACTTCATGCTTCCTGCTGCTGACCAACTTTATGGGGATGCAGACTTCACCTTTCAACAGGACTTGGCACCTACACACAGTGCCAAAACCACCAGCACCTGGTTCAAGGACCATGGTATCCCTGTCCTTGATTGGCCAGCAAACTCGCCTGACCTTAACCCCATAGAAAATCTATGGGGTATTGTGAAGCGGAGGATGCAATACGCTAGACCCAACAATGCAGAGGAGCTGAAGACGACTATCAGAGCAACCTGGGCTCTCATAACACCTGAGCAGTGCCACAGACTGATCGAGTCCATGCCACGCCGCATTACTGCAGTTATTGAGGCAAAAGGAGCCCTGACTAAGTATTGAGTGCTATACATGCACATTCTTTTCATGTTCATTCTTTTCAGTTGGCCAACATTAGAGAAACAAACATTTTTTCATTGGCCTTTAGAATATTCTAATTTTCTGAGATACCAGATTTGATGTTTTCATTGGTTGTCACCTATAAATATCAAATTTAAATGTAATGAACATTGGAAATACATTGGTCTGTGTGCATTGCATGAATATAATGTACAAGTTTCACGTTTTGAATGGAATTACTGAAATATTTTCAACCTTTTGATGATATTCTAATTTACTGGCCAGCACCTGTATATGAACGCTCCGGAGATTGGAGAGAATTATTTTCAGCAAACCTCAAACAGCTCGTCTCCTCTGAGCTCCTTTGCACTGAAGGCGATGCCGTGAGCATAACCGCCCACTCTGATGGCCTGGCAGCCCTCGCCGAGCAGCACCACGTTCTTACCATGCCTACTGTGGAAGTGATGGGCCACGCCTGCAGCTGCAAACAGAGAAGGAGAAAAAAACGTCAAGAGATGGTTCCAGGAATAACTGGGATGGACACTGGTGGGTGTGCACCTGGGGAGTGGATGGGGAAGCTCTTCTCGGTGACGTTGCTGGTGCAGAGGCTGTTGTCCAGCGGTCCCGAGGAGCTGGTGATGGACACTTGGACACACTGGCCGTACAGATCGATCACAGCGTACACCTCTGAAAGAAAAGCAAACGCTGTTGTTCAGCCCAGCCGATCACCCCCACCAGTCGGGGTCCGTCGGTCGTTACCTGACGGCAGACCAGAGCAGGCGATGCCCTGATCCACGCCATTGATGTAATAGTGGAGGTCACCACTCGCCGAGCGCATCATTCCGATCCGAGATCCCGTTGTAAGGGAGTCCAGGTCGCAGCCATAGTTGTTGCGCATCGTGTTGCCGTCCTGCATGATGGCGGTGCCACTGGGGGGGGGGGAGAGAATCAGATCAGACTCAAACACAAGATGAGCAAAATCTCAGTGGACGTTTATTTAGAGGCGCCACCTTAACATCCACGTGTCGTAGTCGATGTCGGTCATGGTGTTAGGAAACTCCAGCTCCTCCGGCCTGATTGCGGTCACTCCTGTGCACACGGGAAGGAGGTGAGACAAAACGCCGCCGACGTAAGGTCTAAAAGGCTCCTGATGATGATGATGGAAGGCTGACCTGTGGAAGTTTGGCAACAAAACAGAAAAACATCCCACCTGCTTCTATTGAACCAGACCAGCGGTCCACCATCTTCTGGATAACTATTTCAAAGAGCTCGCCGTCCCGAAGGAACCTGAAAAATGAACACAAGCCACAGTCTGAGAGATTAGAGTGGTTTATGTTGTTCAATACACCCGTAGAAAAATAACTTGATCAACGTTTGTACAGCGTTGTGTTTCGGAACGAAACAGAAAGTTTACAGACATCAATACCTGAGCTTCAAAACGGACCACTGGCGGAACGGTTTGGAGGAAAACCAAGAAAAATCACAGAGGTCACGTCTCCTGAAGTAATTCCATTTAAAGGGAGACCGGGCAGTTTTGGCTTGGTTTTAGCACCCCCTAGTGTCCGTTTGTAGAACCAAAACAAAAACGTATCTCCTTGCGGCGCGTTCGTCTTGTGAACACCTTAATCTAACAGCTGAAATGTCTCCCCAGCCTTGCTTAGTGTCTACAGCAGTGGTTCATCACCAAATTAAACAAATCAGCTGTGTTCATGAAGGAATGCAGGAAACGTGCTGGGAGCAGACTGCAGCGCCAGGTATGTCAGCTCCATTCTTTTCTCGTCTAACAGACCAGGGTTTGTGCAGAGAAATAACCAACTTGTGCATAAAAATCTCAGTTAAATTTGGTTTAAAATGTTGGTAAAAAGGTAGAAATGAACCGATTCAAGCACATGCGGGACCGATTCCGCTTTCTGAATTTGGAGCCACGATTAACAAAATACCTAAAAAAGTAACGATCAACATCAAAATAACGATTCTGGAAGTAAAACATCGCTGAATATCTGCTACTGTACAGGATCACTGCTCTGTTATCGATTGTTCTACCTGTTGGAGATGACGATGGCATCGTTGAACTCGCTGCGGCAGTTCTGACGCAGCGCAGTGCGCCCCCCGTTGGTGATGACGGCATTGGTGCCGTGCAGCTGGTGGAAGCGCAGGTCGCTGGTTGTGGTGGCCCCCACCACTGAGCAGGGGCTCCCTGGGGACATGGCAGTGGGGCCTTCTGAGCTGTCCTCTGGCAGAGGGGGGAGGTCCACTGAGACAAGAGAGGACAGACAGTCAGAGGGATCACAGACGTGACGTCATACGGTATCACCCCCTCTGGTCCTCACCCATGTCATCCATGATGGTGGCCTGGGCCGCCTGGCCGTAAAGGTCCACCACGGCATAGACGCTGGGCGGGACGTTCCATGCTGCCGGGCCCTGGGCCACGCCATTCACAAAGAAGTGAAGGCTGCCGTCTTCTTTCCGAACAACGCCGACGGTGTCGCCTGCCTGAGAGCAAAGGGAAAAAGAGAATTAAAACAAAACTGGTGAGTTACAGAAAGCTGAACGAACAAAAACCTGCTTACTTTGAGCCGATCCAGGTTGTGTCCATACTCGTCCAGGATGGTCGTTCCGTTGTGCATCACTCCGTTTCCTGTCATCATCCACGTCCCTGGAAAGCATCCTCCCACACATCAGACCTCCTCAGAAAGACGACAAACCAACAAAGTTCTCTGCTGTTCTCTCACCTGAGCGCAGGTTTGTCATGGTGGACGGCAGCTGCAGGTAGGCGGGGTTGTGTGTGGTGACACCAATCTCAATTGAGCCCGCCCACTTGTCCACCATCTTGTCGATGCGAACCTGGAACACCTCGTTGGAGCGCAGCGGCCGGTTGCTCAGAACCACACCGTGGTTGAAGTCATCTGTTGCACTGTTGTTAAATTAGCACCTTATTATTGTTCATTTGAGCTTAACGTGGAAAACTTGTTTTTCAGTAATCTATTACTCCTTTCCTTTTGGCGCGCTTTGTGAGAAAGTGAAAAGCTTTCAGAAAGCAGAATCGGTTTCGTAAAAACACATCAGAGTTTATTTGTAGTTTTCAAATCAACCTACTTGATAAACTTGAGTATGTTGTGAGAAATCATAAGCTTTCAAAATGAAAATCAGCAACAGAAAAATCCCAAATTGGAATCGGCCAAAGAAACTAATCAGTGCATTTTTTATTTTTGGTTTCCAGACAGGGTGGGCCAACTAAGCTTGGTAGTATTTATAACAGATTTTAGTCATCAGGAAAACCATTTGGGATCTTCTTGTCTCGTCGTCTTCTCCCGCCTGTCCGGGTCCAGGTCGCGGGGGCAGCATCTCAACCAGGGAGTTCCAGGCCGTCCTCTCCCCAGCCACCTCCACCAGCTTCTCCAGTAGGCATTCGGAGATGTACTTTCTCTAACATGTCCTGGGTCGACCGGGGGCCTCCTGCCGGCAGGACGTGCCTGAAACACCTCCCCGGGGAGGCGTCCAGCAGGCATCCTAACAAGATGCCCAAACCACCTCAACTGACTCCTCTTGATATGGAGGAGCAGCGGCTCCTCACCCTATCCCCAAGCCTGAGCCCAGCCACCCCGTGGAGAAAACTCATTTCGGCCGCTTGTATCTGCGATCTTGTTCTTTCAGTCATTATTCAAAGCTCAGGAGGGAGCGGGAGACCGACAGGCGGATTGGGGCAGCGTCTGCAACGATTCGGACACTGAACCGGTGAAGAAGGAGCTGAGCCAGAAAGCAAGGCCCAGTCCTCACCTACGGCCATTTGGGATCTTAGCCTTTTTAATGATCTCAGGTAGGCCTGTTGCTGTTTGTCTGTAATTGGGCAAAGTTTGTGTACCTCTTTCATATTCCCAGTTTGCAGTCTGGATTCAAATCTCCTTTATGCTGTGTCACCAGTACTTTAAGTTCTGACGTTTATACCAGGGATGCACAAAATATCAGCTTTAACGTTGGCATACGGGTCGACGATAGTCATTTTCTTCGGTATCGGTCCGATATCAACAACCAATGTTTAGTTCTTTAGGTGGTATTTGTGTACAGGTTTGGGACGGCGGGTGCTGGTGGTCAGTCATTTGTTTGGTCATGTGACGGCGATCATCACGTTTGGAAAACGTTGGCCATAACGGCAACATCGGCCTAAATGTTGCCATCAGTGCACACCTACTTCGGATAGTCTCTCTTTGTGTGGACCAAAATATAATTCTACCTCTCATGAATGCTTCTGATGCATCCTAAACAACGTCTGGACTCATTCCCCAATAAGACTTTCTTCCAAAAACATTGTAACTGTCAGTTTAGATCATTGCAAACAGCTTCCATCTTGCGTTATCATCATTAGGTTCATTATTAGTGACAAAAGTTAAGAAACTGGCAGCATGATCAACATAAATCTGTGCATTTTTACTAAATAGTTCAATAAAAGTGAAGCCATCATAAACCAGAGAGGACGAGCACTCACTGCGGTCGCAGCGCCGTCCTGCCGTCACAGATGATGGCCGCCTTCTGGCCACAGTTGGGGTGAAAGAGGAGGCGGTCGGGAGCTTCCGCGTCTGGAGTGAAGGACAGGGCGGGCCGGGGTCGACCCACGTCGGGCGACAGAGCCCTCATGATGGCGTTGTTGCGTCTGAGGCGGTCGCTGTGGTTGTGGTTGTGGACTATGGTGACTTTAACAGCCATGCCGTAGAGGTCCACCACACCATAGACCACGTTAGGGGTTTGGGCCGCTGCGACCCCTGGATGATGACACCACGGTTAGGACAGGAAGTCCTTTTAGCGTGACATCATGACTTGTTTAGGCGTCTCACCTTGATCGATTCCGTTGATGTAAAAATGGAGCGCACCGCTCGCTTTACGCATCAACCCGATGTGGTCTCCCTCCTACGATTAGATGTTATTAAAAAGAGGTAAAACAGCTCGACCTTTTCCATCTCTGTCGGCTCAAACCTGCAGCTCGTCCAGACTGAAGTCGCAGTATTCCCGGCGGGTTCCCTTCCCGTTGGTTAATATCCCACAGCCACTCATCATGATTGTACCTGAGGGAGAAGACAGTACAACCATCCATGGATTAAAGCTCGTGTTTTTGTTTAAAACAAAAGTCTGGAGGGTTTGTTAGCCACCTGAGCGCAGATTGGTCATAGTAGCGGGATAGTCCAGGTTGTTGGGGTTGTGCGTCGTCACGCCGATCTCTATGGAGCCCGACCACTTGTCCACCAGTTTATCGATGCGGATCTAATTGGAAATAAAAACGCTGTTCTGTTAGCTCCGCTTGGTTTTCTATGTGGAGGTGAGACGGACGAGACTCCAAACACCTCAAACATCTCGTTGTGCCGGAGCGGCCGGTTGGTCATCACCACGCCATTGTTGAACTCGTCCAGAGGCCGCCGCCGCTCCGCCGTCTTGTTGTTATTACTCAGTTTAATCAGAGTGCCGCACTTTTCGTGGAACAGCAGCGCGTCGTTGGTGGTCATGCCGCCCGTCACGCCTCCAGATCCCACCCCTCCCGCATTACTGGCTGGGCTGTGGTCCGAATTCCCTCCTCCTGTTCCGGCGTCGCAGTTCGTCCCTCCTCCTCCTCCGCTGCTGCTACCTCTGTCGTTTCTGGAGGAGGAGTCAGTCCCAGCGTTTCCTCCTCCCTCTACACCTCCTCCTCCGCCCTCATCTTCAGAGCGATAAAAAGACACTATTGCATTGTTGAACACGTCAAAGAGCTGGTGCTCCGTCAGAACTGCAAAGAAACAGAAAGAGAATGGTTGTCAGCGCCGATCCAAGCAGCCTACATCTGATGTGGGGAGGCTGTCCTCACCAGCATCTGGCTCCAGGTTGTTGGGGAACTTGTCTGGTCTGCCGTTGCTGCAGCTGAGCTCAGGCACTGTCCGAAAAAAAAGATTCATTTCAGAAAGAAATTATGAAAACCTGCAAAAACAAATGATGACTAACTTTAACCAGAATGTGGCAGATGTAATAAGAAAAGCTCCCTACCTTCATCTCCATTCACCATCCCATTCATTGCTGCCACATTCATCAGTGCTGCCATCCCTCCCTCCTCTCGCCCTCCATGTACAACCACTTCCTCCTCCTCTTCTTCGCCCTCCTCCTCCTCCTCTTCCTCCTCCACGTCCCGCTCTATCGTCTCTCTCTCCCTCTCTGCAGAGGGAGGCGGCGGCTCGCAGCTCACCACCGTCACCTGAGTGCACTTGCCGTAGAGGTCCACCACGGCCCACAGCTTGGACGGCAAGCCGCTGGCCGCGGCACCGCAGTCCTGCCCGTTCACCCAGAGGTGAAGCTCGCCACGGGAGTTGCGTTGTATGCCCACGCGGTCGCCCTCAGCCAGCTGGTCCAGGTCGCGGCCGTACTCCTCGAGGACTGAGCGGCCGTCGCGGAGCACCGAGCAACCAGACACGATCCAGGAACCGCCTTTGAGGCCCGTGGCACTGCTGGGGAAGTCCAATGCTGCAGGGTCCAGAGCTGTCACTCCGATCTCAATGGAACCACTCCAGGAGTTCACCTAAGCAGAGATAAAAGGAGTAACTACACCTCATTACTGGCTGTTAATCTCTTACGTCAACATTTATATTGTTAGCATCGTGTTAAAAATACTCAGAGGAGTTATAAACTAAAATGTTCACAGGATACCTAACAGACCTTAAATTTAAAGAGTTTTATTGACACCTAAAACAACTAAAGGAGCACGCAACAGAAAAAACCAGCATCATCCGCAGCTGTTGTTCATCACAGGAGGCCTGTGGAGGAGATGGAGCTGTGACGTGTGATGAAACAGTGAAGGGCAGTGCTAAAAACTGCATACAGACCCAAACAAAGTGTGTCAGACTCACCCGTTCTGTTATTTTTAGTCCTTCTGTCTTCTCACAGATCTGAGTAGTAAAAACAATGATGTAGAAAATCAAGTTGAAGCACGCTTCTTTCTCACAGAGATGTCTGGTCCATCTTCAAATACTTAAATCATCAGCACTTAATTTTCTAAGTAAGAAGTTCAATAAACGTGGACGCCCGTTTTTAGCTCAAGAACCATTTGCTAAACAACCCACACCTGTGTGATGACGACTATTACCAGGGTTGAAGATTGTATCCTCTGTTTGGAAAAACCTCCTACAGGACTGACGAGCTAACAGCTAGTCTGAGCACAGCCAAGATCACCGTACATTTCTACGTTTCAAAACAGCTCAAATCTCCTAAAGGTCAGAACGTTATTTAAAGTGGTTCTTCACTGAAAAATATTTTACTTAATTTTTCTGATTATAATCAGTCACTCTGAATTTAACACACAGGCTGAACATGAAAATAGCTTTTAACTTCTGTATATTTTAAGTAGCAATGTCCCGATACAACTTTTTCACTTCCGATACGATACCGATATGGCAGCCTTCAGTATTGACCGATACCGATATCAATCCGATACGATATCAGCACAAATCATACATGCTTTTACCTGTTTCGTAGGGTGGAATGTATGAAAGGCTTGAGCAAGTGATAGTACTCAGTCGGAGAACAAGAGCAAATAACAGTAAGTACGAAAAAAATGACAATTTTTTTCTTAACCATTGGTTGCAAAAATGTGAACCTTAACGGACTTTGTACATCGGAGATCTTTGATGCCATCCGATATAATCAGAAAGTGTTTTTGGGCCGATATCGAATTACTTCCGCTATCGATATCAAAATGGGACATCCCTAATTTTAAGGTTTTTAATTGCTTTTTTAGTCCTTTCTTTTTTAAACCTGGTTTTATTATTAAGCCTAAAGGTTTTTCTCCTTTTCATTTTCTTGCCTACATTTGTGTATTTTATGGTTTAATTGCCTGTTTAGTTTTAGTTCTTCTTTTCAAATGTTATAATTTACCGGATTGTTTTGAATTGTGCAGCGCTTTGGTCAGCTGCATGGCTGTGTTGAAAGCACTTTACAAATAATACGGTACGGTATGGTAGGGATGTCTTGATACAACTTCTTCACCTCTGATACAGCTATTACAGCCTTCAGTACTGACCGATATCAGCACAAATCATAGACACTTTTACCTGTTTTGTAATGTGGAATGTATGAAAGGATTAATCAAGTGATATTACTCAAACAGAGAACAAAACCCAGCTTTAGGCCTTTTTTATTCTTTTTTTTTTTAAGAAATCTGCTCAAAATGACATTCCCACACTTTGATGAGTATATTTCTGTAGCCACGGGGTCTATTTGATTGCTTTTGGTCTTATTTTAAAGGAAAATCTTCCGGGATTTGTTGAGATGTGTAGATATTATCATACAGTGGTGTGAAAAACTATTTGTCCCCTTCCTGATTTCTTATTCTTTTGCACGTTTGTCACACAAAATGTTTCTGATCGTCAAACACATTTAACCATTAGTCAAAGATAACACAAGTAAACACAAAATGCAGTTTTAAAATGATGGTTTTTATTATTTAGGGAGAGAACAAAATCCAAACCTACATTTGAATTTGAATTTAACCAACTGTTAAATCTTAGTTTTTGCACTGCTCCGGGTTAAAATCCGACGTCTAACTCGAGTTAATAAAAAAAAAAATCAATTAACTGACCAAGTATCAAAACTGATAAATTTAAAGAAATTTTTGTTAAATATTTTTTAGAGCATTTGTTATGCAGCTGTTACTGAGGAACGTAGATTTAAATTTAATTCGGCAGTAGCACCATGTGATGTGCTTGACTTTACTATGGAGGTATATCTGCTGAACCCATTTATGAAAATGCTGAATACGGGCTGTTATGTCATCTAACCTTAGTTGGGAATTTAGAAACTGCAATTTTAAACCAGCATCAATGCTGCTTCTTTTTGTTTTCCATCCATTCTGCCTCACCAGCAACTCTTCCAGTTTGATAAATGCTGGTTGTTTGGCGAAGTCTGCTGATGTAATTTTCAATCAAGTAACTACCAATCAGCACGAGTTACCCACAAGTCCTACCTGGCAACAGAATACCCACCCCAATAAAAGGTACTCTGTTGGTCCCTGAAATGCCCAAGAAAGTGGTCTTCAGGGGCCGGCCCGGTAAAATTGCGACAAGCACACGATGTGACAGTTCAGTAAAATCAACTGGAAGTTCCATTATTGAAAACCGGTGTTTGAACTAGTGAAGAAACTGAAACACAGATTAGGATCATCTATGTACCGGACATCATCAACAGCAGGTAAGATAGTACGGAGTCCCTCTGATGACATGGTCCGCTCCGTACTTTGACATAAAAACTCACTTCTAAATGAGCAAAATATTCCTTTTTCAAAATCAGTTAAGGAATTTTCTTTCAGTTTTGGGGCTGAACACTTATTACCCAATGCTCAGCAAGTTCCCAAACACAGACTAAAATCTCGAGGGGGTCATGCTTTCCCGGTGCTGGGGCCGAGGCTCTGGAATGAGGCCACCACTCTCGGTAATTTTAAGAGCCGTCTGAAAACACTTTTATTCTTTGGCTTTTACTCAAGAGGAGTCTCTTTAATGGGTGGCTTTGCACCTTTTTGCTGCCCCACCTAGATTTTATCTACATGTTTTTGTTGGTTTTGAAATGGTTTTATATGTTTTTATTTCTTTATGTTCATTTCTGTTGTGCAGCGCTTTGTTTGGTCCTTGGGCCATGCGAAGGTAGGCGCTATATAAATAAAGTTTAGTAGTTGTAGTAGTAGCAAGACATTACTGTATGTATATATTTTTTTAAATATTATAAAATGTCTAACTCTTTCAAGTAAGAAGATTCATCTGTTTGTACAATAAGTTTCTCATATATTATTTGATCAACTCTAAAAAGCACAAATCTGATAAGATCAATAAAAGTAAAGTGTTAATAATTTAAACGGGATTTTAGGCTATTTCAAGTCGTGTGATGCTAGCAGACACAGCTAGGCTATATTCATTTCCCTTTTTCCCCAAAAAGCTCTTGAACGACACAAAGCTGCTCGAGTTAGCATCACACACAACACAATTATTAAAGCAAATGCACAAATCATCTGATCTTCAATAACTGTGTTTTTTTTTTGGTCACAACGAGATCTCTTGCATCTTTAGTGTGACATTGGACTCATATTACTTACCAGTCAGACTGATATCCACTCCCCCCTAGAAACTCTAATCTCACCATAAACTGGAAACAATGCAGTCCATTACTGATCCCTGTGGGGTAATTTCTGACTCCTCGATACTGCTACGACTCCAGGATAGCTTTGGAGCTGAAGCAAGACACAAAAAAAATCCCGGAGCTGCTCCCAAATGTTTCTGCACAGCTTGCAGACACAGATTCATGCATCCACGTCATCCCGCTGAGAGGGGGTGACCTCAAGGCTCGCTGCATTCCCCCTGCGGCTCAAGGAGAAAATCATCTAAAGCTAAACGCACAGAAATCAGCCGAAACTCCCATGAAGTGACGCCGAACACCTCAGAGATGTGCCTCTGCAGCTTAAATGTGAGGAAGCGTCAGAGAAAACATTTTCCTCCTGGATCGATATCTTCTCTCCTGTCAGATCATTGATGTAAGGCAGTGTGCTACTACGACAAGCCTGGATCTAGGTTAACACGTTCAGTAGTAGCTCGGTCTGACCGGGTCACCGTGCGGAGGAGACGGGACATCTCCCTTTATGTAACAGCTGCCTGTGGGCGTCTGTCTCTCCGTCTCTGCGTTCAAACAGACAAACTACTCCAGGAAACGGCTGCAGAGGAGAGTGCTGGGCGGCTTTTAAAAAGAATAAAAAATTCATAGCGTGTAAAATTTAGATGGACTGTAAGAGAATCCAGGCTATTATTAAACAGTGAGACAGAAAGCAACAACTGAGCTCACGGATCGGTTTGTGTCTTTAAAAAAAAAAGAAAATGAAGTGTTTGATTTATTTTCCTTTTCTATTTACAGACTAAAAATCTAAATAACGTTAAAGTTATGAAAATCAACTACGCCTTGTAAGGATCAGTGTGTATGGACACAAGTTTTTCTTCACAGATCAAACAAATGTCTCCATTCTAGTTTAAAATGTTGGTGAACACTTTCAACTCTCATTGGTATTTTCTCTGACGAAGAATTACACACAACAAGGATCTATGAATAAAACTGTTGGTATTAAGAGATGTTTGAAGAACCGATCCGGTTCATGGGCCCAGCTCCTGACAAAAGCATATGGTATAAAAGTGGTCCTGTCCTCTAGTTTAGGCCGGGAATATGTTCGCTTTATAAACTCGCACTGACACAGGCAGCAGGCTGTGTGTTATTCACTTACTTACTGCTGTACTGCACATAGTACTGGAGTGTTCCACAAGGGGGCAGAGTAGATAATTCAGACTGGATTGCCCAGGGCTTGTGGGTACAACCAAAACAAGCATGGTGTGAATTAAGCATGTGTATTGGTGAAATTTTGGCAATGCGATACGTATCACGAAGCAGGGGAGACGATACAATGTATGTATGTGTGAGTACATATATATCTATAAATACACACACACACACACACACACACACACACACACACACACACACACACACACACACACGCACACACACACGAAAAAAGAACTATGAACTAGTTCGTTTTTGAAACAGTGAACTTAGTTCAAAATTATTTTATTCATGAACTATCATATGTTTCTCAGTAAGAGGAGTGAGTTTATGGAATAGCCTCGAGGATAGATTAAAAAATTCATGCTCGTTGAAAATGTTCAAAAAGAGTTTTAAAAATAACGCCTTAAGCAATTACCAAGTGCACCAAAATTAGCTTTGTCACACGTTTATACCTCTTGATTGATTTTGTTGAAATTAGGATGATGCATGTAATAACTGTATTGTTTATATGTTTATTTACTTTTGATATTTATGACAATGTTGATTTTTTGTAATGAATTAATGGGTAGGCTTAAATAAGTTTAACTTCAGCCTATACCTTTTCGTTCATAAATTATATCTAAAGAAATCATTTAATTTACAAGAGGAATTTGTACCTGTGATAATTATTATTATGTTCTTTATTAGATAATTATTGTCCTTTTCATGTGTTTAATATGTATTTGTTATGACGGAAAAATAAATACAACTAAGAAAAGAACTAGTTCGGTTTAAAATGTATGAACTGAACTTTGAACTAGTTAGTTTTTTAAACAAACTTTCCCAACACTGTACACACACACACACACACACACACACACACACACACACACACACACACACACACACAGCTGTTTACTATCCAGGCAGCTAATATAAACGCTAGCAGTTCGATTTTTCTGTTTGCCAACTCTCAATAAAAAGCACAAGAAGTAGAAAAAGAATTTAGCTTTTTTGTTGGCAGAAGTAACAGTGAGAGAGTAAAGTCTTCGGAGGTGAAGCAAAGAGCTAAAACCAGAGTGAACATCAACAAGGCCTACACTCAGGGGTGGACTGGCCTATCTGGCATTCTGGCACTGTCCTGGTGGGCCGCTTGGCCAAGTGGGCTGCTTGCCCAGCTTGGGCCGACACTACTCCACAGTTGGTGATCTGCAGAGCATTAGCTACATGGTAACCCAAAGCTAACAGGGTTTTCCCAGGCATTTTTAGCAAGAAAATCGCAGTAGAGCGATGACGTAGGAGTTGTTTTACCGCGTTAGCATGTAGCTAATGTCCCGCTGATCTCCGCCTGTGGAGAATGAGCTGATCTGGAAGGCCAGGGCTCCCAGTCGCAGTGGCCTGGCCCTGCTTATAATTTAACAGTCCCAGTCCATATTAGATCTCACATTCGGCCTAAAGATGAGTCCGCAGGCAGCAACACCCCCCACCCCCACTGCACACCCAATGGGGAGGGCCGGCGATTCGTAAAAATGCCAGGGCCAAATTTTGGTCCCGGTCCACCCCTGCCCACACTAGTATGAGGAAGCTAAAGGGGGCCAAAAAAAATCACGGACTGATGGTGGCCTGGCTTTGTTGCTACTGGACTTGTAAGTAATAATATTTTTTTATCCAACAGTGCAGATCTTTGTACTTTTTGGTTTATTTTAGTATTAGCTGGCTCATGTTAGTGTTAGCAGGGTTGTTTATGACAGTTGTAATTACACTTTCCACCAGTAAGGGGACGAGGGGACGGGACTTATTCAGTGTTGCTTTAACATATTTTCCCCAAACACAAATGATTCTAAAAATGAATACCTGAAATGACAACTTCACTGATGAACTGTTGGTTAACAATACAGTGACTTCCCCACTTACTTTATTCCATCAGGCAGAAAATTGAGCTGCCTCAAAGTCTTGATTCCAAGGCAGAGAAATGACTTTTCTAAGGGTGTGAGGCTCATGACCTCTGACCTTAAAGCTGTTCTCTACACTTTGTGTGGTTTTAGATGTTTACGAGGAGATCACAGCTAATATCACCACTGCAATAATCAACTGTGCTTGTTGTGATTGCACTTTTTTTAAAAACTTGTGCACTTCCAGGACAAGCCCTAAACCACTCAGAGTCCACTCACTAATAATTCACTTCATTCATCTCGAGTTTACCCCCACTTCCCCTGCAGCACAGCAGATGAATTAGCAGGCATGCCAGGGGGCGCTTTGTGATGGAAAAATATTGATTTCCAGGTCATGATAGCGTGAGCTTCATTATGAGAGCTCTGATCAGACAAAGCGGGGTGCGTGATCATTTACAAGCAGTTGGTACCTATTAAGCCAAATGTTGAGCTTACTGACACTAACAACTGCTGGCCTGTAGACCCCAGAACGGCCTTTTAAAAAGTGTGTAGGATGTGTGGCCCAGTTGGCACAAGTTCAGAACAGAAGAAATCTTTGATCAATTCTGCAGATACAGAGAAGCTTTTATGAGAAACGTAATAAAAATGTTGATGCTGCTGAGAAACTTTAGTCATACTGATGACTGGAAAGCCAACAGAGCATTCCTAAAGAAGAAAATCCGGTCCAGAGGATCCATGCAAAATGTCTTTACATGTTTGCATCTTCTGTTTATGAGAAACCTGCATCTTTTATCGTTTCATTTGTGAAATTATTTTAAATAAATAAATTTTTTGCCGTCCTCCAGGTCATCCTTTATTTCATGTTCTACATAATATTTTCACTTGCTCTTCAAGAATCTTGCTGCAGCACTCTGAACAAGCTGGAGGTGAGCTACAGCTACCAAATAAGGCAGAGTTACAGTAGTCTAGGCATGGCGTAGTGAAGGCATGAACAACAGTCTCTAGTCAGCAATGGCTTTACATTAGCCAAGTGTCTCAAATGATAAAAGGAAGAAGATGGAACTGATGTGAGCATCAAAGCAGAAAGCATTGTCAATCTTCAAGCCAAGATTGACACTCATGTAGAAATATAATTCACCACGTTAGGGAACCATTAGGCCCAAAAAAACCTATTTTATTTTCATCGAGAAACAGGAAGTTCTCCACCATGCCAAACATGCCTCGACTCCAGCAAAACAACCCTTGGGATTTCTAATGGGGTGGTCTCCAGCGTCATCTAAAGGTAAATATAGTTGGCAGTCGTCAGCATAAATTTAGAAACCAATTCCATACTTTTACAGGATGTCACCCAGTGGGAGAATATAGATAGAAAACAACAAGGGTCCAAATATCAAACCCTGTGGGACCCCCTCAAGGCAGATGTGAGAAGGCAGGAGAAACACCATCCAGCATCCTCACACATATGATCCTGTCATGAAGATGTGATCTTAACCAGCTCAAGGCCAGACCAGAAATCCCCACATTAGTGCTGAAGATGAAGGAGCAGCACGTCATGGCCCACTATGGAAAGCTGCTGTGAGAAAACCACAGCAGAGACATGAGATGATGCCTTAGATGTTAGTTTATAATCAATGACTTGCTTACATTTAAGGTTAAAACACAGTAACTTTAAGAGTCTGACCAATTAGAGAAAGTCGGGATTATTCTAAGGGGATTAAGGTAACCAGGCAGCGTGTTGCAGCGCTGAAGGGGAGAACCAGCTCCAGATAAACTCAGAACACTGATTTCTGTTCCTCTGGACGCCGCAGCACCATCCCTGCTAGAAGCTTATAAACAAAGCTCACCTGTCCCGTATTTAACCGCTCGGCCGCCGAAAGCAGCGTTTTCTCCACAAACACGACAGAAACCTCCTGTGGTACCTTCCAGAAAGTCCAGTCCAACCAGCAGCTAACCGGTGTTTAGCACGGCTAACCAGTACCGGAGCAAGACGGGCGGGTTGCTGCTAACCAACTCGTTCGTTTATCCTATCTACTATCCGGGAGGTGTTCATCAAGTCACCATGTCCCTGTAACGGCTCAGATAAAATCCCCCTCCCAGAGGTCGCGACTGAAGGCTGCGGTCGCTGTCAAGCTCTGCGGACCTGCCCCCGGGTGGCAGAAGCCCCTCGCCGCGGGCAGAGTCAGACAGACCCCCCGGCTCGTCGCCGCTCCAACACCGCTCAGCAGCAGGCGGGCCCGTGCTTGTTTACCTTCTTGTCAATCCGGACGGTGAAAACATCCCGGTCCCTGAGCGGCTCTTTGCTGAGCACCAGGCCGTGGTTGAACTCCTGGACTGGCTGGTTGCGCCGGGCGGTTCGGTTCGAGTTGGACAGGCCGACCAGCTTTCCGCTCCGCGGATGCAGCTCCGCCGCCATCTTCAGTGGGCGGCAAAGATTCACGACGCTGCGAATTTACGACAGTTTAGCTTCACTTTCAGCCTTCACGGTAGTATCCCGAAAACCATGGCAACCGTGTAAAAACGCTACAAAAACTCTTTTGAGGAAAAGTAGGATGGTAACTTTAACTTGAAAATGAACTATTTAAATTATTATGTATTCACGTGTATCTGCGTCTTCGCCCTGGTTAAGAGTCTTTCATTCTTTTCCGATAATTTTGAAGCCTACAGAAACAAAGTTGTACAAAATATAAATTGTTGGTTTGTCTGATTCCCTTTTTAATTGATTTAGAACATTTTTAAAAGATGTAAGCAAATTTTCCGCAGTAAATGTTAATTCTCACTAATATAAAGTACTGCATGAAGTGTCCCCCAAGTGTCGATCCAGACCCCACTCTGTTCAGTCTATGCTTCCTCATAGACTCACTGAGTTGTGCATTTCCTCATCAGCATGATGTAGATCCTAAACACTCTCTTATTTAGTGCATCAATAATACTAATTAATGCACAGTAAAACGAATAGAAAACGTAACCTATTATTTTTTACAAGTAAATAGATTAAATCTGAAAACAGAATCACACCGTCATTCTAAAAGGCCAAGGACACGACAAGGTTTAATAACTATTTGTCAAAATCTGGCTAATAGATGCTAATTTATGAAATTTGGGCTGAACTATTTAAACTTTTATGAAATTCATCAAATGTGTTTTATTTTGGGCTGTGCTTTTAATATAATTAGCCATATATCTTGCTTTTTATGTTCAATGGAAGCCACACTTCGTTTTTAATGCACTATGTTATTTAAATATATGTTGATTTAAGGTTTTACCCAAACAAAACGGATTTATACAGTTTACCTTGGAACCAAGGAGGTGATGAAAGAAATTAAACACTACTTGTAATGATCCACTAGGGGGGGCTACTTCATCATCTCTGCCAAACCTCATTGAACAGAATTTACCCTTCATTTTACCACCACCACCACCATATTAATTAATATTCACTAATAACCATTTTAGGGAGAGACATTTTTTTATTCAGAACCTGAAAACTGTTTGTGACAAGGTCAAACAAACACTGAGAATCTTTTCTGGATATTTTATTACAGCTGCAATTGGAAGAGATGTTGAATTTAAACAATATTACATGTTAATGAGAAATTATTTATGCGTCATTTTAAGACTTTTTAATGACACATTTAAGATGAACGCATAATTACTATGAGGCGTGTGTGTAGACATTATGACTGAGGCTGGAAGCAGTTTGATTTATGTCTCAAACTCTGTGTGATGTAAACAGTTTCATCACTGAACTCTTTGAAATTCAGCTATTTTATTTATGTATATACTCAGTTTATGGGATTTGGTTTGTTTTTCTCCTACATTTTTTCTAACATGATTTCCACTTTTCAGAATTTTGTGTCGTTGCATGTTTTTATGTTGGAGGTTTCTGATTATTCTCTAAAATTTGACACATATTTTGTGTTTGATGTTAATTTTCAATGGCTGATGTAATCATTTGTTTAGTGATTTGATTTTACATCAGAAGTCTGCATATCTTGCTTCATCTGTATTAGTTTGGTGGGTGACTTATGATCTTTTTTAAATCAGCGGCTAATTGTTTCCTTATTGTAATTTTTACAACTCCTGTTGAGTATTTCATACTTCTTTAAGGTCATTTTACTCCTCTATTCCTACGCTCCTTATCTTTGCATTTTACTTTTTGGTCCATTTTCTCTAATTCATGGACGTAATTTTGGGGGGGACAGGGGGGACATGCCCCCCCCCCCCACACACACACACTTTTTCCAAAGTCAAGTTTTGACCCCTGTACTTTTTACCATCCAAAAACAATATTACGCTATATTAAATTGACACTGGTTGAGCTCTAGGACCAAGCAGAAAACAACCGTTTGTGTTGAAGCCTGTTTCCCAATTAGAGCATACTGTAGAGATTCACCCCCTCACCACTCCGTGTCCCCCCCCCCCCCCCCCCACACACACACACACTTCTAAAGCGAAAATTACGTCCATGCTCTAATTACATTAAAGTTAAATATTTGGATGGAATGCCTCAATGTTTTTTTTAATAATACTTTGTAAACTAGTTTATTTGTACTCATATGGTGCTCAAAAACATTGGAATCAAAGCATCAACAGCAAACATTCAGTCCACAGACAACGCGTGCTTCTGTAGTTTATGCGGGGCAGCTGTGAGACGAGACGGACATGTGTTTGACAGATAAATCCAGATCCAAATCCTTCCCTTGGACTTGGACCTTCTCAAGACAGCCCGTCAAGAAACGAGAGCCGATGACACCCTCGCCTGTAAATTCAAATAGGAGAAGAAAAAAAACATTTATTGGAGCACGTTTTTATTTTATTTTATAAATATTAATGCAGGACCTTAAAGTTTCAAGACATAAAGAGTCAAGTGGCTCACGACTCACCCAGAAGACCTCCAACAGCAAAACGACCCCCCCTTACACTGGTCAGGTAACTGGGGTGGCTCTCTGCGCCGGCCAAAAACGTAACGGCGTTTGACTCATCTTCACGTTCAGCCACTTTCACTGAATCCTTCAGAAACGTAACCAGAAGTCTCTTGAACGTGTTCTCCAGGGTGAACTGTTGTTCTTTGAAAGTGAGAACGACTTCCTGTAAATCAGAAAATCAAACCTTTTTAACAGAATTAATTCTCACTGGGACATATTTTCATGCAGGTAGGACTTTCATCCCAGGAAAAACTCAACAGGGAGCCATAACCACGACACCTTTCTACAACACGGCATCCATTTTCATTAATGTCCAAAACTAAACCACATATTCTTCTCTCTCGTGGAGTAACAAAGTCCTACATGCGGTAAAATTAATTTTTGTTCTTATTTACATAAACCACAACAATTATGTTACGACCACCTGATGAACAGCTGTGCAGGACTCTGCTGAGACTTAGAGCTGTCAGCCACGCCAAATAAAATTAGAGCGATATCACATTATTATTGTTCTAATAATACAACTTTCCTGCTCGCAGAATACACAATGATATTATTCTGTTGTAAAAATGTCATACTTGTGTATATTGTTATAACAATGAAGTCATCACGTTATAACGTGTATTGCTCTGGTTTTACTGTTGCTGCGGGACTCAGAGTTTGTTCAACGTTGTTTTTTTTATGTGTGAAACTCTTCTGTGCACCTTTGTGTCGTTACTGGCTACTGCGGTAAACATCAGCTGCTCTTGTGAAGATTCAACGCTCAAAACGGTTCCGTCCAGCTGACTGAAATCTCCCCAAAACTCAAGGCGGAACCCCTGATCTTCATCTATGGAGAAAACTGCAGCCAACATCACACTTTTATTACAGTGATAGCGAGAAGCCTTTCGCGTTGGATCTGAAACTAAATGTTCGACGTTGTTTCCACCTGACGTGTTAAAAATGGCCAGTCCTTTGCCACTGAAGTAGCTGCCTGGTTGGATGTTTTGATGGCAGAGCCAGAGCTCTTCTGCCTCAGCCTCCCAGGGGACGCTGAGGTTCAACCAGCTGCCTTCACGAACGCAGCCGTCCATCTGCGGATCTAACTGCACGGCAAAAACAGACACAAACAGGAAGAAGATTGGCTTTTGTTGTTTTAAAAACAGCTCAATTCAAGAACCCTGATGAATCTTGTGAAACATTCAGCACCTCAACAATCAACTTTTCCTTGTCTACCAGGATCCCACCAAGAGCCAGTCGAAGTTCACCAGAAATGACCTCCTGTGTCTGTTTGGACTGCATGCCCACCTCCAGTCCGGGTGAGCCGTCCACCACCAGAGTCACAAACTTCCCCTTGTTGCTCACTTCCAGCTATCAAGAAGAGTCGAGCACGTGAACTGGATCGCTTTGAGTGAACTTGATCGCTTTGAAGCCTGAATCCTGCAATAGCAACAACTCACTGTGTGCCATTTTCCATCGTTGAGCTTCCTTCCACCCGTCACGCTAACGAGAATGTCCTCCTTGCTGATCTGCATGAGGGCGTGTCCATCTTTCAGGGACAAAATAAACCAGTCCTCCCCATTTTTGGTGTCTCCATAGAAGATGACTCCTTCTGGGTCAAAGGTTCGAAACTGAAAAGAAGACTTGATGCTGTGCAAACGGAGAGAAATGACAAATCTTCTTCAGGGCAAGAGGGTGGAGAATAAAGGAGGGGAATTAATCTAGATCCTAACACTGGAGCAAAAGGTCGCTAAAGGCTAAAATAACAGAAACCTAAAATACAGTAAATGAACTTATTTAAAAGTAGTTGTGTTGTAGCATGGACAGCGTTGGCCTGTTGAGCTAGCTAATGTATTTTCCCTCTTACAGGTTTCTACAGTGTTTTGCATAAAGAGTAAACACAAAATACAAAATTTCAAAAGATAATCTCATTATTAGCCTCTAATCTTAATAACTGGTTGTAACAAACTGGGTGACAGCTGAAAGCAGCAAAGCAGCCCCAGACCATCACACTCCCACCACCTTGCTTTACCGTATATGACAGGATATACACCTTCCGATGAAATCTGTTTTTGTCTCATTGTCCCAGTTTCCAAACACTCTTTGGAAACATCAAGATGTTTATTTGGTAAACGTGACAAGTTTTTGTGTTTTTTTTTCTTGGTTAGCAGATGTTTTCCTTTCCATTTTTGCCACTTCAACTCATTCTTATTGTTGAATCGAGACCCTTTGACCTCTGCATTAACCAACTGCTAGCCAGCCTTCGTGGGGCGATGGTGGCACAGGAGTTAAGTGCTCGCCTAGTAATCGGAAGGTTGCAGGTTCGATCCCCGCTCAATCTGTCGCTGTCGTTGTGTCCTCGGCACTTAACCTCCCTTGCCTGCTGGTGGTGGTCGGAGGGACCGGTGGCGCCAGCGCTCAGCCGCCTCGCCTCTGTCAGCGCGCCCCAGGGCTGCTGTGTTATCTGGCTCATCCCCACCAGGGTATAAATGTGTGTGTGAATGACTGATTGTGTTTTAAAGCGCCTTGGGGGGTACCAGGACTCTAGAAGGCGCTATATCACGTACAGGCCATTTACCATTTACTTTATTTAGATTTTCCTTTGTTGACAGTGGGACATGATGTGTTGCATTAGAGATCTTTTACCCTTCATCGTGTTGTCAGACAGGTTCTGTTGAAGTAATATGTTGTTTCTGCAGGTCTGAAAGTAGCCGCGCCTGGGTGTAACTGACCTCAACTATACGAGTAATGTGGTTAATCCCAGCTGATTTAAGACAGGCGCAAACCTGGACCAGGCTGGTTTGGATAGGTTTTTTTTTACCACTACAAATTAAATGATCTTCTCAAAACAGCATTTTGTATTCTCCTGGGTTATCTTAATGCAGTGTTGATATTTTTTGCTGATCTGAAGCATTTAAGAGGTGAAAAAAAAAGTTTCACCAGTCCCACGATGAATCAATCCATGTAGACATAAATCAGCTAAAGGCCGAGATGAACCTACGTAGCTTTATTTTGAAATAAGCTGATGCATCTGTTGCAGAGATGTCCTGTTTTACCTCCTGATCTCTACGAGGTTAACTGTTGTGCGGATCAGCGGCCTCCAGGGGTCTCTTTCCTGGCCGAGGTAGACGACAGAATCACCCGCTACTTCCGTCTAGAAGGCAAAGACGTGAAAAGGAGCCCAGCTCAGTTAAAAATTATAATATTTATTTGTAACATGTTATATTTAATCACTCTCCAAGTGCTACACAATAAGGTCCATAAACAAATAAAAGTTGGGTTTATAAAGGGAAAAGCCCCACTCGTTGCCACACTGATGAAATCTGTTCTCCACATTTGACCCATCCTCGGGACTGTTTGGGTTAATCCCCCAACACATCCCTTTAATGCCGAATGTCAAGCAGGGAGGCATTGGGTCCCATTTTTAAAGTCTTTATGACCCAACTGTGGATTTGAACCCACAACCTCTTAGTCTCAAGGTGGACACTCATACTACTAGGCCACTGAGCTGGTATGTAGTTTACTTAGTGAAAGGCCTTCCTAAACAGATAAGTCTTCAGGCTCCTTTGAAAGCCCCCGCACAATTAGCGCCAGTCCATTAGCTCTATCATGCACTTTGCATGTTGGTTGCATTTTACAGCCAAACGCCTTGATTGATTAGTGGTTGAAACCACATTGATCTAAATTAAAGTGTAATTAAGGTTGTAAAGAGGGGAGTGTGAGCAGATTCCTGAGCAGTAATGAAGTGTTAAATCAATGCAGATGTCATTCAAATACATATAAGGTTGAAATAAACGAGGTGAAAAAAAATTATCCCCCTGGAGGGAGAGGGCGCGATTGCTTTAACAGTGAGAAAAGTCTGAACAGGGACACGCTCCCTCTCACATGGAGCTGGACGCGGATTTGGCTTCAAACGGGCTTCCTCTTGAAATTTTCACAAACAAATAAATAAAACTACATTTCCAGCATGTTTAATTTAGTCTTACTTTATAGTGAACTGTGGTGATACATGTTAAAGGAAATATCAACGAATTTATAGCTAAAATTAGAAATGTGCTCAGTTTCATTTCACCGAGTTTTAGTTTAGTTCAGCATTTGACTTAATGCAACTTAAACAGTTAAGTTCAAATTTAACTTTCTTAGTTTTTTATTTTAATGTTGCTTGATTTATTTTTAAATTAATTGTTTAATGAAGTTAGTTATTTTTAAACTGACCTAATTTAGTTAAGCTTAATTAGATAAAGTAAACTTCAGTTTAGTTGGATCTGAATGGATTTAGTTTAGTTGACCTTTTTAATTTTTTTATGTTTTTTTTTTAACATAAAAAATACTTTAATGTCTACATAAGACTTGTGCCTATTCATTCAGTTTTAAAAAGTCCCCAAATGGGGAAAAAATGACAGAAATAACAGTAATTATAACGAGGTCCGGTAAGTGGAAGTGGCAGAACACGACTAGACGTGTGGGCCTAAATTAAATGAAAATACTTAATTAGGTTGAAAGTAACCTCGTTAAAACAAGTGAATACATAAACATCAGCTGATGTCGTCTTATTGGAGCCTTGGCAGAAGAAACATAACAATAACCCCCAAGCCACCTAGCCTGATCCTGGACTAAGGTAAACATCACCAAGGTACCAGAGTAAAGGTTGCAGAATTTGGTTAAAATCATTGATGTTGCCAGTAATGGTGGGTTTTATTTCCTGGAAGGTGAAGCGTGTGAGTTTAGCTTTATCCTTATCCTAACCCAATATCCAAAAAAGAAGAAAAATTTGGGTTTAGAAAACACCAATGGGTTTAAAATCAAACAGAAATGATTTGAAACAATCTGTAATTAAACTAAATCGACGTATAACAACATTAATCAGACCATTTATGATTTTTTCCACGTTAGCATGTCTGTATCACTTATGCTGCATAGTTCAAGAAATAAAAGTTTCCTTTTTATTTGTCGTTTTAAGTGGTTGAAGGCTAAAATAATAATTTACTGCCTTTTACCTGTAATCTTCCGATTCTCTAAGTGTGTGTGCTGCTGTAGCGAGTGAATTCCCCCACTGTGGGATTAGTAAAGTCTATTCTATTCTATTCATACGTGTGTTTATTCAAGGATTACATACTTTTCCCCGTCCGTTCACCTCACCCTCCACTCGTCGCCCCAGCAGCATGAGGCTCATGATGAAGAGCAGTCCACCCGCCATTGCTGTCCTAAAGATGGCCATCCCTCAGAGAATCCACCCACCAGGCCTCTCAGCGAGCACTCTCCAAACCCTTTGGGTAGTTTGAGCTTCCCTGAAGAGTCAGAAGCAGAGTGTGTGCAGCAGTTTGTAGAGCCTAGATGTATTCTGGGACACCGCCACAGGGTCCAGAGGGTAAAAAGAGCCCAGACGGCGCAGGTTATTGATTCTCATGATGAACAGGT